CCCCACCATGGCCAGCCCCCGGCCGCCGAGCGCCGGCCCCCTGCCCGGGCTGCTGCTGCTCCTGCTCCTGGGCGCCCTCCTGGCGGCTATGACCCCCGCCGCCCCGGCCACGGCCAGCCAGCCCGACGCCTGCACCGCCCCCAACACCACCCCCAACGACCTGACCGGCCAGTGCCAGTGCATCCCCGGCGCCCTGCCGGTGGCCGACGCCGCCGACGGCGCATGCCGGTGCCTGACCAACATGCACGTCCTCGATGGGGCCTGCACCTGCCCTCCCAAAACCCGGCTCCTCGACGGCCAGTGCGCCTGCACCCCGGCCGGCACCGTCTACCATGAGGCCCTCGGCCAGTGCGTGTGCATCGCCGGCGCGCTGCCGGTGTCCGGCGCTCGCGACGGCGCCTGCGCATGCATCCCGGGCATGGTGCCGCAGGGCCCGGCGTGCGTCTGCCAGGAGGGCTGGCTGCCCATCTACGACGTCACCCGGCAGGCCCTGCGCGAGCCGCCCAGCTGCGCCGAATGCCACGCCTCCTGCGCCACCTGCTCGCACCTGAACACCGACCTGTGCGGCACCTGCCCGCCAAGCCAACTGCTCCTCGGCATCGACGCCTTCACCTGCGTCGCCGCATGCCCGGCCGGCTACAACCTGGCCAGCAACGCCCGGCGCTGCGTCAATTGCGGCCCCGGCTGCGACTGGTGCTCCGGCGCCCACCCGGACCAGTGCACCACCTGCGACCCGGCCCTCCGGGCCTACATCGACAATGGCCGCTGCCGGGCCTGCCCGGACGGCTGCGCCTCCTGCCTCGGGCCCAGCCTCTGCCTGGCCTGCCTGCCGGGGCTCACGTGGAACCCGGCCACCGGGACCTGCGCCCCGGCCTGCCGCCCGGGCCAGGCCCCGGACCCGGACCGCCAGCCGGCCACCTGCGCCCCCTGCCGCAATGCCTCCTGCCTCGAGTGCCTGACCGCCGACGCCGGGGCCCGGTGCACCGCCTGCCGGCCGGGCTTCGCCAATGACCCGGCCCTCGGCCGGTGCCAGCCCTGCCCGGACGGCTGCACCTCCTGCCTCGGGGATGCGGGGCTCTCCTGCACCGGCTGCCAGGCCGGCCTCATCCTCCACGAGGCCCGGTGCCGGGCCGACTGCCCGGCCGGCCGGTACCTCGAGGCCCGGGACCCGGCCCGGCCCGCCTGCCGGGCCTGCCACCCCTCGTGCGCCGCCTGCACCGGGCCCCTGGCCGGCCAGTGCACCGCCTGCGCCGACCGGCCCCAGGCCACGCCCCAGGCCCCGGCCCGGCCCGAGCAGCCCGCCTGCCCGGTGGCCGACGCCTGCGCCGCGGCCCACTGCGACGCCTGCCACATCGACAGCCCGGACCGGTGTGTCGCCTGCCGGCCGGGCTTCCGGCTGACCCCGGCCGGGCAGTGTGTCCCGGACGATGCCTGCCCGGCCGGCACGTATCCCCACCCGGACGGCCATGTGTGCCTGGCCTGCCCCGGCGCCTGCGCCACCTGCCACCCCTCCCAGCCGGACGTGTGTCTCTCCTGCGATGGCCACGCCGGCCGGCACCTCCTCGAGGGGGGCGTCTGCGCGGCCGGCTGCCCCGGCCACGGGCACCATGTCGACCCGGGCACCGGGGCCTGTGTCCCCTGCGCCGGCGACTGCATCCAATGCACCGGCCCCGGCCCCGAGTGCCAATTGTGCCCCAGCGGCATGCTCCTCCGCCAGGGCGCCTGCATCCCCTCCTACGCCTGCACATCCGGCGGCTTCTACGCCACCTTCCACGCCTGCCTGGCCTGCCACGCGGCATGCGGCCAGTGCATCGGCCCGGGCCCTGCCGACTGCATCTCCTGCCCGGCCGGGCAGGTGCTCTCCCTGGGCCGCTGCCTCGCGGCCTGCCCGGCCGGCTCGTCCGAGTACCCCCCCGGGGCCGGCACATGCCGCGACTGCGCCGCCGCCTGTGCCACCTGCACCGGCCCGGCCCCGGAAGAGTGCCTGGCCTGCGCCCCGAACTGGCTCCTGCCCGACGACCCGGGCCCCTGCGTCATCGACATCCCCTGCCATGCCTCGTGCGACACTTGCACCGGGCAGTCCCCGCACCCGGACGGCTGCACCGCCTGCCCTCGGGGCAAGCTCCTCCTCCCGGGGGCCGGCTGCCTGGATGCCTGCCTGGCGGGCTTCTTCGACGACGGGGCCGGCCAGTGCCGCATGTGCGCGGCCGGCTGCTCCCGCTGCACCGGCCCCCAGCACGAGCACTGCACCGCCTGCTTCCCGCCCGAGCTTCTGCTCCCGGATGGCACGTGCGCCGACCGCTGCCCGGAGGGGCATTTCGACGCGCCCGCCGGCAAGTGCCTGCCCTGCGCGCCCGGCTGCCTCGCCTGCCATGGGCCCGACCCGGCGGACTGCGCCCCGGCCCATGGCTCGGGCTCCTCCCCCGCCGCCTCCTCCTCCGCTGCCTCTTCTTCCTCCGCCGCCGCCTCCTCCTCCGCTGCCGCCTCCTCTTCCTCTGCCTCGGGGCCTGCGCCCCCGGGCCGCGACGCCAAGAGCCGGGCCCTGGCCCTCGGCCTGGGCCTCGGTCTCGGCCTGCCCCTCGGCCTGGCCATCGTGGCCATGCTGGTGCTCCTCCTCCGCAAGCACACCCGCTCGCCGAAGGAGGCCCAGCCCGCCACCGAAATGGGCGATCTCCGCTGACCCGGCCACCGGCCGGCCGGCCGGTGGCCGGCCGTGTCCTGTCTGTCCAATATTCCCCGCGCCCCGGCTTGTTTGTTGTTTGGCAGGGCGGTCTTGGTGTGGCTGTGCCGGGCAAGGGGGGGACAGTTTGGGACCACGCTTCGGCGGGTGCATTCCTGGCATGGGTGCCAGGCCCACAGCCGCGGGGCACCCATGGCTCGGGCCTGGGCACATGCGAAGGGCCGGCCCTCCCCCGCATGGCTGCCCGGCGGACACGGCCATCGCCCCCCCCCCCCCCCCCCTATGCAGCCCCGGCCCCGGCATTGTCTGGACGCAGTACCGCCACAGTCGACTGCGCTTCCCGCCCCTTGCTCCCTTGCCGGGTCTCGGATTGGCCCCATGGACACCCTTTTGTTTGGCGTTCGGCATCCGACAACCGGGTCCGCCGGGGCCGTGTCCCAGCCGTGGCACCTGCCGTGGCGAGCGGGTCGGCCCGATGTTCGCCTGGCACTGCCCCTCCCCGGACCCGCCAGCGGCCGCGCGTGCCACACTGCCCGGTCGGCCCCGGAGAGCAGCCACCCGGCAGCCGGCGGCCAAAGGCCCTGGAGCCGCACCGGCAGACCCCCACAGAGGACCGGCCCAGAAGACGACCGGCCATCGCACGCCCTCCAGCCCCACCCCCCTGCATACCGCTGGGACTGAAGGTGCACCGCGCGCCTCGCCAGCCGGGGGGTACCCCGGCCGCCCGGGGCCGCTGTCATTCGCCCTCCCAGCCTGGGTGCCACTTTCAGCCGGGGCCCGTGCGACTGGCGTGCCCGGCTGCGCATGCGCACACGATAGGAGTCATCCGGGCCACGGCTGGCATGCCTGCGCCCGCGCATGCCGCCCGGTGGCCGGCGCTCCTGATCCCCGCAGCCCAGGCACCTCCCACGTCCGATGTCGCCCTGACGCGCGGTGGCCGGCCAAGGGCCATTTTCGGCAGCGCGCACACGGCCGCCCATCCAGGGCTCCGCTCGCGGCGTGCCGGTGCCGTGGCACAGGCCAGCTCAGGACCCGGCCCGCTTGCCATGTGCACCGGCATGCTCTCGATTGCTGGTGGGCCAGCGCGTGGGGCGGGCCGCTCCGCGCCGGCAGGCCGGTCGCCCTCCGGTGCGGGCGTCGCCAGCGTCGGCACGCCATCCGGCAGCCCGGGCCGGCCGCCAGGCGCCAGGCGCCTCCGAGTGCCCTCCGCCCCCCTCGCCCCTGCCATGCCTCCCTCTGGACCAAAGCCACGCACAGACGGATCCCCCGCCGTCCGGGGTCCGCCCTTTCGAAGGGGGTGCCACGCGGCCGCGCGGGGCTCCAGCTGGGCCGGGTCCGCTGCCGCATTCGGCGATCCCGATCTTGCTGCACGTGCCCCTGCCCCACCCTCTCGGCCGAGGGGGCCGGATCTTGGGCGTGGGCCCCTTTTTCCCCGGGCTCTCCACGTCGGTCGGCCAGCGGCCCTCTCCACCGGGTACGGGCCACCTGGACACCTGTCGCCACGCCCAGCACGCTGTCCACCTCTCCTCGGCCATTTCCCTCTTCCCTCTCGGGCGCCCCAGGTGCAAGGGGGCGCCATTCCCCTCCTCCGCCCCGAGACCCCGGCACCTTGGGGGGCACCCCGGGGCCTGTGCTTCGCAAATGTGCTGCCGCCTTTGCCCCGTGTCCAGACCGCCGGCTCCCCCCTCGCCGCGGTACCGGCCCGTTTGGTGAGCCTCTCGGCGCGGAACGCCCCCAGGGGCCTCCTCACCCCCGGCCCGCCGGCATCGCCGGCCGGAGGCCAGACGCCCGAAACGCTCGGACATGAGCCCAGCCCGGGTCCCCCTCCCCAAGCCGCGATAGCTCAGTTGGGAGAGCGTGTGACTGAAGATCACAAGGTCACCAGTTCAATCCTGGTTCGCGGCAGTCTCCTCCTTTTTGCTCCCGCGCCGAAGGGCATCAGCATGCGAAAGCGTGAGAGAGAGAGAGAGAGAGGGGAGGAGAGATCGCGCCGGCCACCGGGGACGCGTCGGCGGCCTGGCCCAGGGGGACAGCCGCTATATTTATATACCCCCCGGGGGCGGCCTCGTTGCTTCGGCTGCCGTCCCCCCTTCGAGAGCGCCGCCTCTCTCCGGGTGGAAGGGGAAACGCGCACCGCCGCGCCGCGCGCGGGGGCAAAAAGACACGCCCCGCCGGGGAGGGCAAAAGGTATGGATGCTCATTGGGTGGATCGAACACCCGACCTCCAGTTTACTAGACTGGCGCTCTACCACTGAGCTAAACGAGCTGGAGCTGATGCGTTGGGGCCTGCGGCGCCATTTGACCCGAGGGTGGTGTGCCGCTGCCGGCCCTCGGCGGCCCTGGAAGCCGACTCGGCTCTGCCCGGGCCGGCTCCCGACATCGCCCCAATGAGAGTCCCGGTGCGTGTGCGTGGCCCGGCAGGGTGGCCCGCATGCGCGGCGGCCGGCATGGAGGACCGGCTACAGTGCGCCGTCGGGTGCCTCTACGGGGCGCATCTCGAGCGATGGCCGCCCGGGGGGCACAGTCCGTGCGAGACGCTCGCCTGGTCCGGCCCGCGAGAGCGCGATACCGTGTAGGTGCCCCGGGGGCGGGGGGGAGATACACGAACAGCAGCGTCATGTATGCCCGTGACCCGGCGCGCCGGTGTCCAGCCGACGATCGTCGAAGCCGCGCGGCCACACGCGTAGCGCCGTATCCATGATGCGGATGCGCCGTGGCGCGCGCGGCAATCGGCTGGCTCCATCAAACACACCTGCTCATGGCCAGGATGCTGATGCGCCGGAAACCGGGGGCACAGCCGCCTCGTGCGCTTAGCAGCGACAGCAGGAGGTCGGCCACGCTGAAGGATGGCCAGGCAGTCCGTGCGTCGCACGCGCCCCCCGGCGCCCGGTCAAGGCAGCCAGTATCCCCGCCAGGGCCTTTCGCCGCGCTAAAGTCGCCATGGGTACACCCAGAATCACGACAGGGACGCGTGCCAGCGAGAGGCAGACCGCCGGCGCGTGTTCCAAGGCCCGAGTCGCACGGATCACAGCGGGCAGCCGTGTCAGCGGGGGACCCCAAGGCGCGCACTGCAATCCCCAGCACTGGCGTCCGGGGACCCGGGCCCGGGCGAATGGACCGAGCCATGCGCCAGCAACCAGGACGCGAGGAGTTGCTCTCTCCATCCCACGGCCCCTGCCGACGCCGCGGCCCCCTCGCGGGTGACCGTGGCATCTGTGGCGCCCGCTTCGCGAGATGCCACGCACCCATCTTGCTGGGAAGCTGACAATCGGTGCCACCGCCCGGCGGCCGGGTCTAGAGGGTTGGACATAGACGGAGGCAGCCACAGCCCTAAGCGCAAGCAAGACGGGGGGAACCGGCCGCAAATCGAGGGCTCGAGGAAGGGCGACACCCAAGCAGGGGGCGGGCGTCAAGAAGGGCCACCACCGCACGGCAGCCTGCACGTACAAAGGCCCACATGACCAGGCGTCTTCCACGAACAATCACCGTGTCCGAGTGGTTAAGGAGTCCGATTAGAAATCGGATGGGCTCTGCCCGCGTAGGTTCAAATCCTGCCGGTGATGCATTCTTTTTGCACGCTAAGAGTGGAGGCCGGCGCCGCCCGGCGGCGGTCCCCCAAGAAGATAAGGTGCGAGAGAGAGGAACACACCAAAGGGGTCCGAGCACAGGGGCTCGGCGTCCTCTGCACAGCCACGGCGGGGGGGGGGGCATGCCAGACAGGGCGGGGGGACTCCCCGGTGAGACACCCCGTCACAGGGGCGCCACCGCCGCGAGAATGGCGGCCGCGAGATGCCACGCCGGAGCACAGCACAGGGCTAAGCATTCGGGGCCGCCGAGGGGCCGCAGGGGCGGGGGATGGAGCAAGTATCCACCGCGATGTGCGGGGCCGGGGAGACACACGCGCTCGCCGGGCGCGGGCGCGCGGCGTGAGCGCATGGCTCGCCAAGGGGGAGCAAAATACACGCGGACCACGCCGGGGGCCCCTTGGCCGAGGCGGGCCAACTAATATCAGGCGAGATGGGGCGCCCACCCCCAAGCGTCGATGGTTTAGTGGTAGAATTGCCGCCTGCCACGCGGTAGACCCGGGTTCGATTCCCGGTCGACGCAAGCACGCTCGTTTAGCTCAGTGGTAGAGCGCCAGTCTAGTAAACTGGAGGTCGGGTGTTCGATCCACCCAATGAGCACATTGCTTTTTTATTGGACGGCCATAACCGAGCAACAAAGAGTCTCCGGGCCCCGCGCAAAAATGAACATTGACCACGATGCGGCTCGAACACACAACCTCCTGATCCGTAGTCAGGTGCTCTATCCAATTGAGCTACGCGGCCATTTCCGACAAACTCCCCTCGTCCCGGGCTTTCAAACGGCGCGGAGGGGCGCCGGCTGGCAAGCCTATGCCCCGCAGGGCGACATGAGCACGCCCGGGGCGCTGTCGGCAGCTCCCTCCTGCGTGGCCGCGCCCCATGCGCAGCCTTCCGCCACGGACTTGGGCCTGCGGGCTCCCGCCTCGGTGCCGCCCGGCACAATGTCCGCCTGTGTGCCTCCCGCCCTGGGCGATGCCCCCGCGCATGTGTATCGGCGTATGTATTCGTGCCGGTGTGTGTGTGGGGGGGGGGGGGGGGGGGGGGGGGTGGGGGGGGGGGGGGGGGGGGGGGGGGGGGGGGATGGGTGAGTGTGGGTGTGGGTGTGGGTGTGGGTGTGGGTGTGGGTGTGGGTGTGGGTGGGTGTGGGTGTGGGTGTGGGTGTGCAACTTGCTGGCGGCCGAGCAGGTGCCTGCGCAGGCGCCTGCGCAGCCCCGGGCCTCGCGACGGGACCCATGCCTCCGGACCCTTCGGCCCCCGGAGGCTCTGCCACCTTGCTGCCTGGGCCCAGGCGGCAGGCGAGTCACGCATGCATGCTCACAAGGTCGGCCCCCCGTGCCGCGTCCACCATCGGCCATGCCCGTGGATAGCGGCCGCCTTGACGCCGGCACGGCCAATGCCAGATGCCCGACGCGCTCG